CAGCTCTTTGAACTGACATTAACAAAACTCAATTATAGGTTAGGTTGCAGTTTTAACGGTTACTATAGCGACAATAATGTCAGATATTAAAAAAAATATTGCGATGTCAATCGATATTGTAGAGGCCCTAAATTTAGTTATTTTATGAAGAATGTGCCAATAACTCTCGGGGTGCCAACAACTGTAGCGTTTACCCTATGGTTGAACTCATCAGGAAGTGTCCGCTAGGAGCTAACTGCAATCTTTCCTGGGTGGGTAGCCTTTCCAGGCAACATTGGCAACGTGGCTGTTGAATCATTCCAGCCATATCCAGTTCCAGAATCCGGAAAATAACAGACAGGGGACTGCTAAAAAATTCATAATCATCAAATTCACGTGCCCGTCTAGTATTTGATGTATCTTCCGCCTACAACAAGTGGAACATCTTGTTTTTCACCATTGAAAAATTAATGAACAAATACGCTCCGCAGGGCGAGCCGATATAAAACCGGTCGCACAGATGAGCCTAATTGGCGCTTGTAAATCCGGCAGATGATTAACTTGACGGAAGTTAGATCATTATCAATTAAGTTCGGTTAATGGGGTCGCCCTGCATGCAAAATTATTGCAACTCTGCAAGAGTTGTACTGACAATTCGAGTCTAATTAAAGCAGTTAGTTGGCTCGTAGTCGGACAAAAGGACAAGGTGGCAATCCCGAGTTGGAATCTGGTCAAATTTCGTCTCGCCGCGATATTATGTCGGGATTTTGGGTGATTTGTAAAGTTACGTTTAAAGTTCGGCTTTATTATGGGCTGTTGACTGGATTCGTGAGTGGTCCAGAATGGAATCTGCCACTGCAGAACTCGCCTGGATAACTTACAGGAATTGTTCTGTCCTTTGGCGCGGAAATTTAGTTGAAATTATTCGAGCCACATAATACTCAGTAGTCAGTAGTGCAGAGGAGTACGAAGACAGCATCCACTTCTGATCCGCTTCATTATCCCCATAAATACTGTAAAAAAACCCCAAATCACCTTCGTTGCCATGGACGGTTAGACCCATGCAATCGACATCGACAAACTGCGATTTAAGTAACTTTAAATTACTGATGAAAAAGTTTACAACGGGGGCGAACTCGATTATGGCTGTTGGGGGAAAAGTTTCGCCTCTTCTCTCTTAATGATGAATTCGTTCACTGTAATCTTTTTTGCACTGCGGAATTGCTCAACTGAATTTGCTTAGTGAAGTTTGTTCTATATCGGCGTACAGCAACTTGAAACTAACAGAGTCTATAGGATACAATTGTCTCCAAACACCCTACAAGTTCCATTTAGTTGGAATTTTGATTTGGAATTTTTGCTCAACTGCCCGATCGTCTGCGAAAAATCGTAACTTCCCATTCAGAGCTGGCAGCAACTTGACATTTTCACACCCTATAGCAAACACGTTACTCTAAAACTCCGGAAAGCTTCATCTAAATCGCAATAAAATCTGATTTTTGCGCGCTTTGTACTTGCTCAACTGTACGATCCTATTTAAAAAATCTTAACTTTCCACCCAGAACAGACATCAATTTTAAATTTGCAGACAATTTAGAAGAGCCCTGGTTTTGCAAATGCTGAAAGTTTCTTGCAAATCGCAACAAAATTTGATTTTTGTGCGCTTTGTAAACACATGTGACAAAATTGAAATGTTCGCACAGCTGCACGATGCTATTTAAAAATTCGTAACTTTCCATCCCAGACAGACAGCAACTTGAAACTTATACAGCCTATCGAAGGCAATGGTCGGTAAAAATCCGACAAGTTTCATTGAAATTGCGCTAAAATTTGATTTTTGCTCGCGTTGTAAGCACCGGTGAAAAATCGTAACTTCCCATCTAGCTCTGCCAGCAACTTAGAATTTCAACACTTTTTTCTGAACATTCTGAAAGTTTTATCCAAATCGCAAAAAAGTCGCATTTTTGTGCGCTTTGTAAGTGAGGAAATGAGAATTTTTGCTTAACTTTACGATCGTTTTCAAAAATTCAGAACTTTCCATCCCGAACAGGCTGCAACTTGAAACTTTCACACGCTATAGAAGAAATTTGATACTGAAAGTTTCATTTAAATCACACTAAACTGTGATTTATGTGCGCTTTGTTAGCATAGGTGAATAATTGAGATTTTTTGCTCCACTGTACGATCGTCTTAAAAAAAATCGATACTTTCCATCCAGAACAGGCATCAATTTTAAACTTACAGTCGCTCTAGAAAACACTTGACTGACAAAATTCGGAAAGTTCATTCAAATCGCAGAAAAACCTGATTTTTGTGCGCTTTCTCAACGCAGCTGACGAACTGGAAGGTTTCGCTCAAACTGCACTTTCCTCTTTAAATATTTGTAACTTTCCATCTAGAGCAGGCAGCAACTTGATATTTTTACACTGTATAGAAGACACATTACTCTGAAACTCCGGAAAGCTTCATCTAAATCGCAATAAAATCTGATTTTTGCGCGCTTTGTACTTGCTCAACTGCACGATCCTATTTCAAAAATCGTAACTTTCCACCCAGAACAGACATCAATTGTAAATTTGCAGATAATTTAGAAGAGCCTTGGTTCTACAAGTGCTGAAAGTTTCATTCAAATCGCAACCAAACATGATTTTTGTGCTCTTTGTAAGCAGATGTGACAAAATGGAAATTTTCGTATAGCTGCACGATCCTATTTAAAAATTCGTAACTTTCCATCCCGGACAGACAGCAACTTGAAACTTATAGAGCCTATCGAAGACAATGGTCGGTAAAAATCCGACAAGTTTTATTGAAATTGCGCTAAAATTTGATTTTTGCTCGCGTTGTAAGGACCGGTGAAGAAATGACCCCCTGCACGATCGTCTTTGAAAAATCGTAACTTCCCATCTAGCTCTGGCAGCAACTTAGAATTTCAACACTTTTTTCTGAACATTCTGAAAGTTTTATTCAAATCGCAAAAAAGTCGCATTTTTGTGCGCTTTGTAAGTGAGGAAATGATAATTTTTGCTTAGCTTTACGATCGTTTTCAAAAATTCAAAACTTTCCATCCCGAACAGGCTGCAACTTGAAACTTTCACACGCTATAGAAAAAATTTGATACTGAAAGTTTCATTTAAATCACACTAAACTGTGATTTTTGCGTGCTTTGTAAGCACAGGTGAAGAATTGAGAATTTTTGCTCAACTGCACAATCGTCTTAGAAAAATCGATACTTTCCATCCAGAACAGGCATCAATTTTAAACTTACAGTCGCTCTAGAAAACACTTGACTCTCAAAATTCGGAAAGTTTCATTCAAATCGCAGAAAAACCTGATTTTTGTGCGCTTCCTAAGCGCAGCTGACGAACTGGAAGGTTTCGCTCAAACTGCACTTTCCTCTTTAAATATTCGTAACTTTCCATCTAGAGTAGGCAGCAACTTGAAATTTTCACACTGTATAGAAGACACATTACTCTGAAACTCCGGGAAGCTTCATCTAAATGGCAATAAAATCTGATTTTTGCGCGCTTTGTATGCACAAGAATAGAAATGGGAGTTGTCGCTCAACTGCACGATCCTATTTCAAAAATCGTAACTTTCCACCCAGAACAGACATCAATTGTAAATTTGCAGATAATTTAGAAGAGCCTTGGTTCTRCAAGTGCTGAAAGTTTCATTCAAATMGCAACCAAACATGATTTTTGTGCTCTTTGTAAGCRSATGTGACAAAATGGAAATTTTCGTATAGCTGCACGATCCTATTTAAAAATTCGTAACTTTCCATCCCGGACAGGCAGCAACTTAAAACTTATAGAGCCTATCGAAGGCAATGGTCGGTAAAAATTTGACAAGTTTCATTGAAATTGCCCTAAAATTTGATTTTAGCTAGCGTTGTAAGCACCGGTGAAGAAATGATCAACTGAATGATCGTCTTTGAAAAATCATAACTTCCCATCTAGCTCTGCCAGCAACTTAGAATTTCAACACTTTTTTCTGAACATTCTGAAAGTTTTATCCAA